TATGTATTTTTTTTTTTTTTTTTTTTAAATGGAGGAACCATTATTTAGACCAAAAGGATATTGTAACCAATTTTATTTAAAAGGATTATGGCAAAAATCTAAAAGTAAAAAAAAAGTAGTTCAATCAAATTAACAAGAATTACTGATGTTAATCTTCATCTATATAAAACTTTTTATATTTATATACAATGACAATGCATTATTGACATGTATTTTACTCATTTATTTTGAATACATTTATTTTAACTGAGTGATGATGAATTGTTCAGTCAGACATCTACATTAATTAGTTGAAACTGACTATTTTACATACAGTGGTGTGAAAAAGTGTTGGCCCCCTTCCTGATTTCTTATTTTTTGCATGTTTGTCACACTTTAATGTTTCAGATCATCAAACAAATTTAAATATTAGTAAAAGATAACAAGTGAACAACCTTAACTGAGGCAAGTGAGGCCTGCAGTTTTTTGGATGTTGTTGTGGGGTCTTTTGTGACCTCTTGGATGAGTCGTTGCTGTGCTCTTGGGGTAATTTTGGTCGGCCGGCCACTCTTGGGAAGGTTCTCCACTGTTCCATGTTTTTGCCATTTGTGAATAATGGCTCTCACTGTGGTTCGCTGGAGTCCCAAAGCTTTAGAAATGGCTTTATAATGTTTATTTATAATTGTTAAATAAATGTTAAATTTATAATGTCTAGCTTTTGAGGATCTTTTGGTCTACTTCACTTTGTCAGGCAGGTCCTATTTAAGAGATTTCTTGATTGCGAACAGGTGTGGCAGTAATCAGGCCTGGGTGTGGCTAGAGAAATTGAACTCAGGTGTGATAAACCACAGTTTTAACAGGGGGGCAAACACTTCTTCACACAGGGCCATTTAGTTTTGGATTTTGTTTTCCCTTAATAATAAAAACCTTCATTTAAAAACTGCATGTTGTGTTTACTTGTTATCTTTGACTAATATTTAAATTTGTTTGATGATCTGAAACATTAAAGTGTGACAAACATGCAAAAAAATAAGAAATCAGGAAGGGGGCCAACACTTTTTCACACCACTGTATGTATTACATATACTGTATGTCATTTATATTGATATTTATACTATAAACATACCATATTATACAGTCCACTACCGTTCAAATGTTTGGGTTTGGTAAGCTTGTGTTTTGTTTTTGAAAGAATTTTTGATGCTCACTAAGGCAGCATTTATTTTCTCAAAAATACAATAAACAGTAATATTGTGAAATATTACACGTTTCAAATTTACACATTTTATATATTAAAAAATGTAACATTAAAGACTGGAGTAATGATGCTGAAAATTCAGCTTTGCCATCAATGTCACACGATCCTTCAGAAATCATTTTAATTTGCTGATTTGCTCAAGAAACATTTCTTCTTCTTATGAATGTTGAAAAAGTTGTGCTGCTATATAAATGTTACATAAATGTTATTGCTGTCACTTTTGATCAATTTAACGCATCCTTTTTGAATACAAGTATTAATTTTGTTCAAAAACTGACCCAAACCTTTGAATTGCAGTGTGTATAGAGGACTCATCTGTGGTGTTCTGTAAATGTAACACATCATTTGTGCTCTACAGGAACAAGCCCAGGCCATCTGTAAACTACTGTCCACCTCCTTCGACTGTGCCCTGGCCTCAGAGAAGTCCTGAGGTCTGTTTGGGAGTGTTCCTGTTCTTCCACGCTCACTCGTTCCTTCAGGAGAAGGTGCCCTTTTTAAAAGCATCTGACAGAAATGCTGGAGTTTGTCTCACTTTGATAAATGTTAATACAGCTGATCGCTCTTTGTTCAGCATGAAAGGGCAGCCATCTCAACCACATGTTTACACCATATACAGTAGTCCCATCATCCTCTTCTCTTAACAGCCCCACCCACCACAACCCAAAAGCCAAGTTTGAGCTGCGTCTATTTTTGTAACCTAATTTAATCTTATTTAATGTAAATATAAAATAACCTCAGAGCACATTTCCCACTATGGGCCAGTGAATCTGGGATTTGTTAGGCTCTAGTGGGATTTGTGTAAACCGTGGTACATTATTGTCAGTGTGAACACAAAGATGCTGTAAAACCTAAACCCTTTGCATCCTTTATATGTGCATGCCCCTCTTTTGTCGTCCTCCTGGTCCAGGTGGGATCAGTTGATACGGTACAATAAAGAAATGCGAACGTAATGCATCTTGTTTTTTCCCCTTGATTCCACTAGATGGCAGTGCTTTCATCCTGTTGAATAATAGAGGAGTGTTTATAAACTATTCATGTTTAATAACAACAACAAAAATATCCCACAGCCCACTAATTGAGGAACATAAAACCCGAAGAAGTTTTAAACTACCCAAATAATGCAACACATGATCACGAAATTCATTTGCAAGTATTTAATTCCAGTTTTCCCATTTATTTGTACATAAATGTATATATTAGCATCAATGACGTTTATGGTAAACGGGTGAATAGAGGTTGTTTCCATCTTAGTTAAAAGTGTACTGTAACAGTCTTATCTAACAATACGTCAAAACATTATCAGTTTAGCTCTCTGTTTACAATTAAATATGCACAAAGCAAAGTCTACATTTATCTACAATCACAGCCGGCCAGGTGCCGATCGTATACAGTGAGCTGAACACGGATAATTACATCCCAGCACTGCCCGAGTTACAGGTCACTCTGGTCCGAGCTCAATCAAGACTAACATGACTCTAATTAAAAGTTACATAACAGACTCTATTAAGTTGCTCTGCAACCACATCAAACACTCGTGACACAAAACGCTCCGCTGTGTTACTCTTGCACACAATTACAGATGGATGAGCATTTCAAAGCTTTAGAAAGGATTGAGAAGTGTTGTGAGAGAAAATGACATGAGGGATTTTTAATTTTCTCTGGAATACAATTAGAGAGATGCAGAGTTATTACTGGTGCAGGGAACACCCATCTGGCTAACCAAAGCTGGGAGACTCTGGGAACATCCTCCTGGTTGGTGGAAATACATAATTCGTATCTCAAACTGACACCTTGGAATCTGTTAAAAATTACTAGATTTTTGGAGATCTCGAGGTAAAGACTCTATTTAATATGTTATGGTTTTGTACACTGAAGAAAGGTAAGAGCATCTTAAAAGGATAGTTCACCCAAAAATAAAAAATGCTGTAATTTGCTCTCCTTCATATTTCAAACCTTTTTATCTTCCACAGAACCAGCCAGGATAAATATTTAAAAAATGTCAAGAGTGCTTTTTCCCATAATGACAACAAACCTGTCAAGCTCTAAAAAAAAAAAAAAAAAAAAAAAAAAAACATTGTAATTTTTTGTGATTATATTACACAAAATGCCCAATAATTTAATTTTAGATTGTTATTTGGATCTCAACACCTGTAAGCCAATGAGTCACATTCACTCAAGCATCTGACATGACTTCCACTGTTTTACATTTTACTGTTATTTAGGCTGCCATTACTATTACCTGCCATGGGGAAATGTGGAACCTGTGGTGGTCTTGTCTTCAGAGTGGGAGGATGTCGGCCCTCGCATAGAGGCCCTAAACATGCTGCTCAGCATAGTCGACCGATTGGTGAGAAACAGAAACATCTAAGATACGGCTCCAATCAACACATCAAAATATATCAAAGCACAATCAGTCATAACTGTAAACAAATATTGGTTTTCACTGTTCATAATAGGAATCAAACCTGGAGCAGGTACAGCTGACGCTCAAAGCAAGCAATGACGAACAGGAAGTGGAGCAGAAGGTCATCCAGCTGCTTGATGATGTCATTGCCGACTGCAGGTGCAGATGTGCTCTAGTGTTTTGTGAAGTTGTATCGCATTCACCACAACAAACTAAAGCACTCTTGTGTGTGTACTGTATGTGCTGTAGTGAGGAGCTTCCCGAGTTGGATAAATGGTCCTGTGTGACTGCGCTGGATAAAGCCCTGAGGAATCTGCGTAAGATTAACATGCAGCAGATAGTGCAGGCGGCACTGGCGCTCAAACACGGACCAGAGACCGAGCTGAGTGCAGTGCTGGAGCAGGCGGAGGACTGGACCCAGAGACTACGCCACCTATCTGAGGAGGTGAAAGAGATGTGGCCTTAATATCTGAAGTGCTGTTTCCACCTGGTATAGAGATGCGTTTTCATTGATCAAATCACAAGTGGTCAGCCAAGATGGATTTACACCTGGTGTTTAAAGGGATAGTTCACTTGTAATTTTTTGTGATAAACTGCAAGTACCCAGAACCCATGTGTTGGGACTAAAGCAACATATGGGTAAAAATGTTATTCACTCAATATCTTCCCCTTTGACCACAAATCTCATTCAAACTTGCATTTGACTTTAATGTGACATGTTGTGCCAAGTCTGACATCATTTGTTTATCAAGTTTGGTTCTCATAAAACTGGCTTGGCATATCTTGCCAGCATATTTAAACTAAATGGGATATGAGAACCACAGGTGATGATTCTCAGTGAATAACAATTAAATAATTAATAGTTGTAAATGTAAATTCTGTCATTTACTCTCCCTCATTCCAAACCAGCATGACTTTGTGAAACACAAAATGAGATTATTATTATTATTATTCAAAATAAGTTATTTTTGTCTTTACAATAGATGTCAATAGGCTCCAATGTTGTTTGATTCCCACATTCTTCAAAATATATTTTGTGTTCCATAGAATAAATAACTCATACATGTTTGGAACGACATGAAAGTGTTTTGGTGAACAATCCATTTAAATACTGGTTTCTTCCTCGCACAAAGTTACAGTGGTTACTTCATTAGATTTGGAATATAGGATTTATGGTGAACAACACCCACAGTTCCTGTTATGAAAAAGCACTGTTTGAAAGAACATGAGGGTAAACAAATGACCATACTTTCATTTTTGGTCTATCACTTTAAGAACGAATGAGCCAGTTGATAAATGACAGCGTTCCACAGACCTCTCAAGGCAAACGGCCTGCACACTGAAGGAAGGTCTGCAAAAGATCATTCCAATCAATAAGAGCATCTAAATCAAGAACACAGAAAGACAGCTCTGAATTATAAATATCTATACAGAAATAAACCTCCTTGATGCTCCGTTGCTCTCTCTGGAGGCCACCGAATGTTCATGCAGACTGTCATGTTGCTCAAATCTCCAAGCAGGCACAGGGTCAAGATTACTTCCATTCAGTCTCCACGTCCCCTGTCCCTCAGCCAGCACAAAGCTCTTGTGTCTGTCCGTTTCTCCGTCTCTCTCATCCACACAGTGCACTTGAGATATTTCCCATGTGTGAGCGATGGGAGGCCTATTTATACACTCAGCACTGGGGCAGGTAGTGTGAAATGGGGACATTGGAGCGCCCCCTCCGAGGGCAGACGGCTCTCGTAGCATATTCCTGGTTTAGCACCATTGACGAAGCCCGTTTCCAACCGAGTCCTCAAACGTCAGTGATTCTCTGATTATCCTTCTGTCTTTCCTTGCCAATCATGGAATGTGGGCAAATAAGACCATATTCACAGATCTGTGTACTTCAAAAACAACTGTACGCTGTAGAGCCGTCTATCTAAAAGGAATAAGGATGTGAATGATTTCAGAGTAAAACGTTCATTTTGGTGACATTTGTCATTAGAATTGTGGTGATGATAAATGAAGTTAAAAGTGCATTTATTGCCTGTCATTCTGAATCATATCTAGTCCACAAACCAAAAACACAAAGCCTAGAAAGCTGTTATATTCCAGCGTTGCTCAAGCCAGGTGAGAGCCAGGGATTTTGGAAGCTCAGTGAAGACACAAGCCTCAAGATTAAGAGGACGATGATGATGATGATGATGGTCAGTGAGGCCACACAGAAGCAGAGAAGTGCCGTCATCGGTCCAACTCAGTGTCTATGATCTCTGAACTTCAGTCCATGATGAACTGCACGAATGTGACAGGAAACGCTCCTCTTCTCATTGGCTCTCCCTCAATGTGGCCCAGCTACAAAACAATCAGGAGAAAGTATGTTAGAAATATTCCTAAAACTGTCAGCGCCGATAGCTGTTGTACAACGAGTGTCCCGAGTTCGAAACCCAACTCGACCCCACCCCCCTCTCTCTCTCCCACTTCACTTAATAAAGGCAAAAATGGCAAAAATAAAATCTTTAAAAAAAAACTTGTTCCTCAATTTGCACATAGTGGTGTGAAAAAGCCCCCCCCCCCATTTTGGTGACATTTGTCATTAGAATTGTGGTGATGATAAATGAAGTTAAAAGTGCATTTATTGCCTGTCATTCTGAATCATATCTAGTCCACAAACCAAAAACACAAAGCCTAGAAAGCTGTTATATTCCAGCGTTGCTCAAGCCAGGTGAGAGCCAGGGATTTTGGAAGCTCAGTGAAGACACAAGCCTCAAGATTAAGAGGACGATGATGATGATGATGGTCAGTGAGGCCACACAGAAGCAGAGAAGTGCCATCATCGGTCCAACTCAGTGTCTATGATCTCTGAACTTCAGTCCATGATGAACTGCACGAATGTGACAGGAAACGCTCCTCTTCTCATTGGCTCTCCCTCAATGTGGCCCAGCTACAAAACAATCAGGAGAAAGTATGTTAGAAATATTCCTAAAACTGTCAGCGCCGATAGCTGTTGTACAACGAGTGTCCCGAGTTCGAAACCCAACTCGACCCCACCCCCCTCTCTCTCTCCCACTTCACTTAATAAAGGCAAAAATGGCAAAAATAAAATCTTTAAAAAAAAACTTGTTCCTCAATTTGCACATAGTGGTGTGAAAAAGCCCCCCCCCCCCCAAAAAAAA